CCCCCCCCCAAAAGCTGGCACGGGTGCCCCTCACCTGGGTGACGATGGCGTCGAGGCCGCTCTGTCCCCACGCGTAATCCCCGGGGTTGGAGTGCAGCATCCCGCTCCTGCCAGCGGGAGAGCCCAGGAATTCCTTCCCATCCCAAACCCACCTCCAGGGGCTCATCCCGGGGTTTTTTTGGGTTTTTTTACTCACCAGGAAAAGGGATGTTGGGAGCCAGGGACGGCCGAGTTGGCGAAAAACCCCGCGAAGATCTGCTGGATTATCCTGGGAAAAAAAAAAAAGGAGGAATGGGAGGGGGAAAGATGGGAAAAGTGAGTGGATAAATAAAGGGTGGGAGCAAGGATGGGCAGGGGAAAAATGGGAATTCCTGCCCCATGGATGTGTGGCTGCAGGGCTTGTGAGTGGGAAAATCCCTGGATAAAAGAGAGGGATGGAGGGAAGGAATTAGGGAAGCGAGTTCATCCCAGGGTGGGAGGACTGGGAATGACTCGAGTTCCAACGGAAGGGTTGGCACCAAGACAGGGAAAATCTGGGAAAAACACGGGAAGAACAAGTGAAATAAATAAATAAATTAATAAATTAATTCATCCCAGGGTGGGAGAACTGGGAGAAACATGGGAAGAACAAGTCAAATAAATAAATAAATAAATTTATTAATTAATTCATTCCCGGGTGGGAGAATTGGGAATGCTTTGAGTCCCAAAGAATTGGCATCAAGACAGGGAAATCCTGGGAAAAACATTGGAACAATCCAATGGAAGAGTTGGCACTGGGACAGGGAAAACCCGGGAAAAACATTGGAAGAACAAGTCAAATAAATAAATAAATAAATAAATAAATTTATTAATAAATAAATAAGTAAGTAAGTAAATAAATAAATTTATTAATTAATTCATCCCAGGGTGGGAGAACTGGGAATGCCTCGAGTTCCAATGGAAGGGTTGGCACCAAGACAGGGAAAACCAGGGAAAAACATTGGGAGAACAAGTGAAATAAATAAATCCATAAGTAACTGGTGGCAGCAGGAACAGGCAGCAACACAGGGAATACTGTTCCCATGGATACAGGAGCTCATGGCCGGGAATTCCCGGGATAAAGCCCTGAAAGGGAGGGACAGCTCCGAAGGAATCCGGGCTCATGGGAACACCGAGCCAGGGAAAACCACTCGGAATTGTGCTGAAGGGAATTGCCGGGATCCCTCATTTATCCACCCGGCTTTCTTCCCAAATCCCGTTTTTCCCGGGATTTCCCACTCACCCCTCGATGGCGGGCGAGCGATCCGGGCGGGAGCTGCCTCGGGATCGGAACCTGCGGCTCGGGGGCAGCCGGGGGGGGCGGCCGGGCCCCCACAGCTCTCCCGGGGGTCCCCGATCCGGATCCCGGCCCTCGGAATCCAGGGAGCCGCTCAGGAAGGGCCGGAAATCCGGGAAGAACATCGTGTGGTCCCAGTGGTCCCAAAGCTGCGGAGAAAGGGAGGGTGTGGTAGTTTGGTCTAGGCCTTCCTTAGTGACCAGTTTGTAACCAAGGAAGGGTCCAGATTTACCCAGTATTCCCTACGATTTTTACGTAAACCAGATTATAAGAAGAAAGGAGGAGAGGCCTTCGCTCTCTTTCCTTCTGGCGGCTTGGAGGTGCAGGTTTCCTGCTGTTGAGTCTGCTGTGTTGGGGAGCAAGGCCTGGTAAGGCCTAGTGAGGCCTAGTGAGGCCTAGTGAGGCCTGGTGAGGCCTAGTGAGGCCTGGTGAGGCCTAGTGAGGCCTAGTGAGGCCTGGTGAGGCCTAGTGAGGCCTGGTGAGGCCTGGTGAGGCCTAGTGAGGCCTAGTGAGGCCTGGTGAGGCCTTGTTGACCTTGGGAGGCGGAGGTTGCCGGCGATCGTCCCGGGGCGACTCTCGGTTGTCCCAAGGAGAGTGGTGGGATATTTTCTTTGCTAACTCTTTAGTTACTAGATCTCGGGCTACTGATTGGGATATATATATATA